CCCCAAAACCCCAAAACCCCAAAACCCCACATAATCCATTATCCATTGGAATCATAATTAAAAATGCTGAGCTCTGTAACATCGAACGAGAAGTGATGCAATTGTGGAGAGGCAAAGGCGGCTTGTGCTTCCAAAAAGAAACTTATGGGCATGTGAAAGTTTGGCCCAAATTTTGCCAATATCTCAAAGTACCATGAATGATACAAAGAAATCTGCGCCTTAGAAGCAGACAAGTATATTCCTAAGGAAAGCTTACTAGAAGAAGATAATAAGGATATCTCTGATGAAGAGGAAAAGTTCGTGGCTAATATTAACGAGATGTTCTATGATGAAGATTATGGAGAATACTCTGAAAGTGAACCCGATAGTAACTCTGAAAGTAGCTCTGACAGTAATTCTGAAAGTAACTCTGACATTAACTCTGATAACAAATCTGATAGTGACTCCAACAGTGATTCTGATCATACTCCTCAGAATATCCCTGACGGTGCTCCTAACAGTCCTCCCAATACCTCTCCTCATGCCGCTCCTAATCCCATCCCTCAACCTCCTAAGCCTAAAAAGAAGCATAAATACCAACTATCCATAAAGAAGAAGGCTTTTGTAAAGAAATCCGTCATGGTGGTTCCTGATAAAATTTTCACTCAAAAGTTCACCGAGACATACTACTTTAAGAAGTTTAGGAAGACTCCGAGGTATCCGCCATTAGAAGAAGCTCTTAATGATCTGAAGAACATTTTTAAATACAATAGGAGCGTTGTCAAACAGATCCAGAGAAGTTATAATAAGTATAACACAATTTAGAATCCCGACATTATCAATAACCCATCCATTTCGTGACCAGCTTTAATCTAACCACTCATATATTGGTTCAGATGTAAAAGTAGTTACTGAAATTTGGACTTCAAACTCGTAAGGCTCACTTTTAAGACTTATTCCTGAGCTTGTCTGCTTCATTATCAGCCCAGGTCTCAAAAGCTCGTACTAGCTCATAAAATCGTACTTTCTTGCTCAAAATTTTTGTTTGTTTATTGTGTGCAGCCCGAGATGTGCAGTTGGGAAACCTGACTTTAACATTAGAATGAAAAAGATAGGAAATTTGTGAAGAGTCTGGCACAAGCTAGGAGGGTTGGGATAAATTAGTTCTTGCCTTTTAGAAAGCGACTTTTGAGAGTTTTTGTTGATCTGTTTTTTTAATCCTTCAAAATTAGAATTAGTGAATTTTAACTTTTAGAATTAATGTAAATAAATCTTAAAAATTACATATAATGAATATAAAACTCTTCAGAGATTCTCATTACTACATAACACTTGAAATAATTCACTATTATATCCCCTCCTCCAGCCCTCCATCCACCCCAACCCCCTAAATTCCCCTTATCCCCTTCCTACACCCCAAACCCTTCCTCCTCTGCTTCTAACCCTCCTCTAGAGCCTTGACCTGCATCATTAACGCAGGCTTGATCATTGACGCAGTAAATGTCTTCGGAGAAGACATTTACAAGAACGTCAATTTCTTCAGGAGCGTAAGTGACCGAAGTCAGGGTTTAGGTACTGGCGAAGAATAAGGTTTGCTTTTAAGACGGTTATTGACCTGTCGATTAAGTTTATGAGGCTGCTGAATAGTTATATTGTGGACCTTGGGACGAAGTATAATAAGGAAGATCGTGTCGTGTGCAGAGGTGTCAGAGCTGAGATATTTAGCAATGTTAAAGATGGAGAAATTTTCAGAATGATTAGTTGGAATTGTGCTAGCGAAAATTTAAGCACTGCAGAAAAGTTTGAAAAGCATTGAGAAGGAAAAGCATCTTCATTGGTTAAGTTTAATGTGAAGTAAGTTGTTTTGATGAATTTGAGATTTGATGATTTCAAGCTTTTATTGATAGATTTCTGTTTTACTGCCTTTTCAAGATTATTTAAAATCTAGGGCTCACTGCTTCAATGCAGGCCAGATAAACCTTTTCGGAGTTTCAAAGTACAAATCTGAAGAAGAGACCTTGATCCCTCCTTACTCAGCATGTATATGTATTAAGAAGGAGAAAATGAAGGCTGATGACTGTACTGAAGAGGGTTTTGATACTCTTTCAACTAAAGAAGAAGAAAAGAGAGATGACTTCAACACTGAACCTACAGAGGCAGAAGATAGGGAAGATGACCCTAAAAAGAAAGCGGATGGGGGCAAAGCAGAGAGGTTGAGAACTGTCTTTGTGATGAACTTAGCTAAAGATAACAAGAACATTAAGAAAGATTTAAAATGTAGCTTTTAAGAAGGGTTTAACTCCATTCTTTCTCTATAGAACTACTTTTCAACATCTCTAACCCAATCCGGGGTTTTGGGGTTTTGGGGTTTTGGGG